GTATTTTTACAGTCTTTATTTTGCAGTTAAAATACAATTTATTAAATAAAGTCTATGTTACAACTAATCAGGGACCCCTTTTAAAAAATAAGCGAGTCAAGGAATATTTTAAAAAGTGTACGAAAATCAAGTGTCCGCCTGTCAGTACAAGCAGCAATCATCAATAAAACCATTAAACRCTGCTCTTGTCCACTTCTTAAAAATTCAATAAGTATATGCTTTTTATCCTAATGCTTCATCCATTTTATTACCAACTGTCTGGGTCAGCAGACACTTTGATGTCTCTATTCTGGCAAATACAAGCAAACACCACATTCTCCATTTGAATCCACTTCAAATGTTCCCCTTTAAACTGGCAAAGAGAGGAAGAAAAAAAAAACCTCAACTGCCGGCAGGGACCATCTGGAGGCACTGGATGATGGGAGCTGGAGGCCTGAGAGGCTTCGGGGGGTAGCCGAAGGGAAGGCAAACAGAGAGAGAAAAGAGAGAGACACAGCGGAGCAGCTGCATTTACGAAACCGTGTCGTGAGTCGCTATCTACAGGCAGGGCGGTAATTACAGGGCGCCGACAGAGAAAGCTCAACTGGGCAGAGATACTCGTACTGCTGGGTGCCGCCCTACGGCCCTCAACATAACAGCTCTAACCACCTAATCCTACAGCAAGAGCGAYGAGAGCACGGTTCCAGGTCACTGACGCACACTGCAACGAAGAGACGGTCATGAGGAGAGACAAGAGACACGTCCACATTGGACCAAGCAGACAGACGGTCACGTCTTCATCAAAAATAGACTGCACGGTGCCCTCAGTAACACATGCTATTAAAACTAGAACTGTGCCAGCGAAAAGTCTTCTATTCTGCCCCGGATCATAACTCTTCTTTTTGGGAGATGGAACAGGTTTGGCTTCAGATTCTGTCTGAAGATTATGAATCACCGCTCACACCCAGAGAGGCTGTGTCCTTCGTTTCAGACTCACAACCTTCACACATCTCCGCAGTCAGATCTCGCCGTGCTTCACTGTGAAGGAGAAACAACAAGGGTACGCTTCGTCACATTCATCAGACTCTTGACAAGGCGTGATAATCCATAAAGCAAGTGYGTGGGAGTGAGGCTGAACTGCAACTTCAGTGAGTTCACATCYTTTCTTGTGTGCCATTTCACAGCCGTGCAGAAAAAGAGAAAAAAAAAAACATCTCCATTTGCACTGACTTGATCTGGCCTCTCCCGTTCCTCAACTGAACCCGGACTGTRGACAGCAACACAGATTTGAACTACGTGACGTAATATTTCCATTTTCCACCCCAGGTGTCAAAACTGTGTAGGTGCTAATGATGAGTGTTTCCAAGAGAGGAAGAGGAAACGCGTCCMTGGGGCGATTTGGCACCGCAGAGCAAGCCGCTCTTCCAACTGTCTTTTTTTTTTTTTTTTCATCGCGGGAGAGACAGTGACTAACTGCAGGGTCAGAAAACTGTCAATTTATTTTAGAGCCTTTAGGATAAATATTCACTAACAGCTGACAAATGTTTTGATACTCTAAATCTGACCTCCTGAGGGACTGGTTAGGGTTCATAGAAAGCATAAAGCTTGCTCAAATCAATGCGTAGCCACTAAATACACATTAGAGCATACCATGTGACTGAAAATTTACAGTTTCTTCACGGAGAGATCAGTTTCACAATATACAGCTAAATGCTTTATCACATCCATGTAGTAAATTATAGCTTTTTTTACTTAATGKGTAAATCCACCAAMATAAAACRCYAAAAGATTTTATTTTTTRTATTTATGAGKCCGATGTCCTCACTWKTACTAGAAAATGTTCTAGCCTACAYATCTGCRGGRCAGTTATGAAAGCTCATAGCTTGATTTATTCTCACAATGCATTTAGTTTATTCCAGCATTAAAAACCTTTTCACCATCACAAAGTGTTTCTTTTTATATATTAAAGCCATATTAGCAAGTTAGATCAGTGTGTGCGTCCAAGACCATTGTTGTCAACAGTRTCTGTGCCGCACCCATCCTCGCTCTGTCTCCCTCACTCCCCTGAGCGGAGCCCACGGAGACGTACGGCTGCTAATTGCAAGCCTGAACACTTGGTGTTAAAAGCAGATAACAGCAGTTGACAGATAGCCTGTGATGGAAACGAGTGCTGGGGACAGAACACATCAGAGGAGGTCCTTTTAGACTGGGACTCGGTGAAATCTGTCACTTATCTGTTCCATAAGAAGCTTCGAGTGACTTCGATGAAATCACATGTGGAAATAAATGAAATTATGTAAATATTTGTTTCGTTTTTTCACTGAATAATCAGGACTTTGGGTTTTTCGAACCTAGCGTCGGACTAAAAACTAAAAAACTTTCATAGACAGAATTAGAATCACCTGAGTGAAGCTCAACCTCTAAAGGCAAGAGAGCACGAGAAGAAAAAAAAGCATCCATCTTTCATCGAAACGTCTTTTGGGAACATGCTGCACAGGAAGTGTTTTTAATACGTAGCCGTCAGCACAGATGTGCAGGGAATACATGACTATTTGATGTGTGGAGTGCTAATAGACCGTTTGCTTCTTAAACTTTATCCTCTGGGTCTGTTTAAAAAAACGTTTCACAGCTCCAGTTGTGCACGCGCAAAGTGCTGGTCTAAAGCAAGAATAAAAAAGATTTAGGTGAGTGCACTAAAGTGTTCTAATTATCAAATAAACACTGTTAACAAAAATAGGATGCTGATAGAAACGATGCCAGAAAGAAAAAAGAAGTGGGGAAGCCTCTCTGACCTACATCGAGTCACAGCCGGTGAATAAAGAGCCTGAGGCACWGATACCATTCAGCCATCAAAAATCAAAAGGCCAGCTATGAGTAATGCATCAGCCTGCRTTACAACCATCCATGCACTGATAGTTCCCAGCAGAGAGAGGGGGACAACTCCCTATTTTTAGCACAAATTATAATAAAACACTTTGAAATGGGGCACATAAGGACAGCTTTGAAACTGATGCTCGACTGTGGGGTAAGGACTCTACAAAAACTATTTAAAAAGTGCATTAAAAGGTTAAAACTTCAAGAATTTATAAATATGTAGCTTTAGTTTGCATTTGTGATCATTTTTTTCTGAATTTGAAGGGAAATATTGGCATCAAAGCATCCTGAACCACTTTCTTTCAAATTAAAAAAGAAAAAAAAAACAGAAAATGCAAACTTAAGCTTTGTATTTGATAGTTTTTCTGCTGTATCCTCACAGAGAATACCTGTAAAACCAAATATTTGTTTTAACTTTGGACATGTAAATACGTGGGGTTTTTTGGATGGAATCCTCATCGACTGACCAAAAATACACACTTCTCCTGAGATTAATTATTTTCAYGGCGGGACTCTTGGGTTTCTGTTGGCCCTTCGCAAAGAGGCATTCAGGCATTTCGGCATGCTGCTGCTTATTTACCTCCTGCCGTCGCCCTGAAGGAAAATATCGATTCTGGAAAGATAAATTGCAGCAATGCAACCGGACGGTTAGGGTATGAATTTATTTAAAAACACTAAAGCTGATTTTTGTCCTTTAAGTTCACACACTCACACAAATCCACGTGTCTTCAGGAGATTTGGCAGTGGCTGTCAAAACACACAGGCCTCTTTTAGCACTCAGCAGCTCTTCAAAAGAACMTTTTCCACTGATACCCGATACCTGCCCTCAGACCAGGGGGGCTGCAACCTGCGGCTCTGGGGCCACATGTGGCTCGTTGGTCTCTCTGCAGTGACTTAGACCAAAACATGTGAAATAGGAATTTTAGTTTTTTAAATTGCTAGTTTTAGTAGTCCAAATGTATGCAATATTCAAATATGTTTGTGGCATAAAAATTAAAAAGACAAGGAGTAAAACAGTCTGTTAACTTTCTCCAAGAGCTATTAGAAAATGACATGTTTTAGCACATTTGATGCAAGTTGCTTCAGGAAAAATTGTGCACTTTTGCACACATATTTTTGACATTATAAGAAATTTACAGGCTGTCTAAAAATATAACAAGTCATTCTGATAAAAAATGAGAATTAAGCCAATATTTGCCATTTATTGGCATTTATTGCTTAAATAACATTAAACTAGCCTAATTTTTTTAGTTCACTTTATAATGATTTCAAGGTGGGACACTTAAAAGAATAATTTCCTGAAAATACAGAATTTCATTAGTTTCCTCTTTTGTATTTATTTAGCAAACATGTCAACAGTTTCTGTTTTTTAATTACTAAAATACAGCAAACTAAAGCTTATTTTATGCAGCTTTTCTATAAAACCTRTTAGTTGTGTTGTAGGTTTTGCTGCTCTCAAGTGTTAATACTAGGAGCAGAAATGGCTCTTTTAACAGTAAAGGTTGCAGACCTGCAGGCACTCCACTGGTCGGCTGAATCAAAAGGTTTCAGCTGTGTGGTGCTGATGTAATTCTCACATGGAGTTATGGCACAAAGAGGAATCCCTCCCMGTGTCTGTGGGAGCTGCAGCCTGCGGGAGACGCCGACGTTAGGAACATGCACGCAGTTCATTAAGTACCTGTCATCGTAGCAGAAATCTGCGCCCAGAGTGTTGACATAGAGGACCAGAGCCACGGCGCCACACAGCAGTTCAGCAAACATCTCTGGCTCGCGCAACCACCGGGTAGGAAAAAAAAAAAACAATATTCTACAAAGGGAATAAAAAAAAAAGGCGAGACGGAAAGAGGCAGCGGATCCCGGTTTCTAGTCACTCAGTCCCCCGTCTTTGTCAGGATGTCTCTGGGAAAACAAGTCCGTTCTCTCCCAGCGCCACCATCATGGAAGCGCACAAAGTGGATAATCCAGATCTGCGCCTGTCGCTCTAACCCATGTTGGCTCCGTGTCTGACAGCTTTACGCCCTGCTGCGACCCGGGCCACAAAAATCAAACCCGAGCAGCGTTCAGAGTCAGCGGATCTGTGACAACATCCTGCACGCCTCCCCGACACGCACACGCGCTCTCTCTCACACACACACACACACGCGCGCTCTCGCCGATGCTCACTGCCGGAGCAGCAAAGCAAAGTCGCGATGGTCAAGCACATGGTTATTAATGCCGCATCCGGTACCGCCTTCAAAATAAAAGTGTTTCCTCCTTGGGAAACTTCATAATATTCTTAGACGTTACATCACAAATAAGCATCAGACTAAAATGGTTGAGCGTTTAAATTAAAAGTAAATGAAATTGACAAAGAGTGAACACGTAGCTCGTTTTCATCCAACCACACACACTCACACATAACTTCCTAGTCATTTAGTAAATAAAATATAATAAAATCTAATAAATAAATAATAAAGCAATACGGCGGCTCAATGCCAACATCCGCACACAGTTTTTATATTGTCTTGTATCATCTAAAATCAGTCACATGTGATTTGTTTAAAAATTCTAGTTTCCATCCATAATGACTGGAATGGTCAGGTGTGTTTCTTGACACTTATTGTGAAAGCAGTCTGGCTTCATATCCGCTCCTGTGTTCCTTATCACAGCCAACTTGACGCAGCTGTGATCCAAACGCATGTGGCCAGGAGAAATCCGGCGCATGCGCAGCAGCGTCAGAGTTGTCCTCACTTAAAACTTGGTGTTATACTGAATTGTAAAATTTGCACGTGTCAGAGTCACCAACACTCTCATCTTATCTTATCTCATCTCATCTTATCTTATCTTATCTTATCTTATCTTATCTTATCTTATCTTATCTTATCTT